TCCTCGACCAGCTATGTGGCAGGCCAATGATGCAAGTTGATGCCAAGCAAAGCGGAAAATAAGCAGCCAATTGTCGCCCTCGCAGGTTTCGCTATGACGGTAGCGCAAGTTGAAAGACGTGCGGGATAAGGTTACGTGCACGCTCAATAATTAGAAATCTCCGGAGTTAATCAAAAGCCATGCTATATTTTAAGTTGAAAGTAATATAAGAAGAGTGTTATCGGGACTGAGTCTGTGTCCCGCGCGTGAACCGCGTGGGTGCATCAGCGCATCCACTTCCGCGCGCAGGCGCGCGAGCTCCTGAAGCCTCTCACGGCGCTTTTCTCGGGCTCCGGCTCCTCTTCGTCGCGATCGGGTGGTGTGGATGCGCGATTGAGCGCAATCCGGTGGTAGGCCCTCGGTCTGGGTGGCCACCTCGGCGTAGAAATGGCGAGTGTCGCGTCGTGATAACCGGGTATGAATATGGCTGAGCTCGACGGCGTAGAGGCGCCATGACCTTTCTTGTGGATGACCGAACTCCAGGGAACGGCCAGGAGTGGGTGGCCGCTCAGACGTTGCCGGTTCCTCCTGCGGGAGAGATAGTCTCGGCGGGCTGCCCTCGGGAGAAGAAACCGAACCGAAGAGGTCCAAAAGTTGTCGCTTGAATCGGCGAGAAGAACACCTAGTTCACCGTTCAGGGGACTGTCCTTGTGAGTCCGCATGTGCCGGAAGAGGCACGTACTCAGGCGGCGGCATTAGTGGCCGCGGGGTATATGGCGACGGAGGTCGCGATGAGGGCGACTGTCTGGCGACAGGCGGCGTTGATTGTCCTGGCAGAGCCTGAGGACCTCTAGAGGAGAGAACGCATGACTGCGAAGGTCCGCATGCTGCACGGTATGCAGCTCCTCTTGGAGCTGAGATTGGCGCGATGGAGACCGTGCAGAAGTCGCGGCCCTGATTAAATCGTCCGGACACGAGTGGATGTCTGTGGCCGCGAGAGGATTTGTCGGACGTGTTTACGGCGTTCACAGTCGCGAAGAAAGGTTGCGGCATTGACGGCCGTGGAGAAAGGAGATGATCGGATTGGGCGCAGAGCTGCCAGATTCGGGAAGTTTGCAGCATGCCACACAAGCGAGTAGCTCGTGTACGTGTGTTCGCGCCGACTCGCGCCACTTCGACTAGCGTCGGGCAGTAGAAGAGAACAGCTGTACTGCTGATTCTTTCTCTGCCTGTCTTTTTCTCTTTGTTTCCTGTCCTTTTTCTCAAACAATAGCTAAAGCGTGCGCGATTCTTTGTGCTACGCCTGTCTCTCCGCTCACACACACACACACACACACACACACACACACACGCACGCACGCACGCACGCACGCACGCACGCACGCACGCACGCACGC